CTCGTCCCGCCACCAACCTGGAGCAGCGACCCATGGCAATGGCGACCTCGCCTGGATGTCGTTGATGCACGAGACAACCGCCGGAGCCAGGAGCAGCAACCCGAAGGCCGAGAACCCTTGCCCGAACCAGCCCAAGTCATCACAACTTTGTACAAAAAAGAAATCTGCTGCCTAATGGCCTGCCTCTAGCCAGCCCAAAAGGAGCGCCCAACAGGCTTCTGGCCTCCCAGCTGGGCTGCAGTGCTGGGAGAAGCCAGCCTCGCTCCCGAATGCTTTTAGATCGCCAGGTGAAGTGAGGAGCTCGCTCCAGAAGTTGAAATTGTGGATTCGGTGGAGTTGGGAGGGGTTCAGAACACGCCCTAAAGCCCCCCTTCCCCTTTAGTACCGGTTCGGCACGAACCGGCACTAAAGGCCCACCACATGGCATGAGCTCGCGTCGTGGTATGGGGGACCTTTAGTATCGGTTGGTGTTACCAACCGGTATTAAAGATATATATATTTTTGATTTTTTTTGAAAATTTTGTAAAAAATATTTGATTTTTTTATTTTCAGTTTTTTGAATTATTTGATGATTTAGTCTCTAATCACCCCTCTTAACTACTCAAGTGTGGATCACCCATTCCAAATTGTCTAACTTCCCGACTGATCACCCATCCTCTCACTCCCCCAGCCTGAGCACGCTTAACTTCGGAGTTCTATTCCCCCTACTTTCCAAGTATGCACTTGTTGTTTTCCTGACAAATGTAAGCTGTCAATCCTATTAACCCTCAGCAGTTTAGCTTGAGCATTAGGTCACACGTTTTACCGTTTGAGTTTGGAACTATTATTCTAAAAAACAGTTAGTAACACTAATATTTCTTGAATAAGTTTGACCATAGTTTGACCATAGTTTGACCAGATTTGACCAAAATTCAAAAATTTGAAATAATTATTTAGTAACACTAATATTCTTGAATAATTATGTAGCAACATTAATACTTCTTGAATAATTAGTTTGACCATAGTTTGACCAGATTTAACCAAAATTAAAAAAAACTGAAATTTGAGAATATCTTTTTTTCCTTTTGGAATTTGAGGATTCTAAAAAAATTGCAAATAGGCTGTAGGCTGTCAAAATCGGATGCGGATTTTCATGCTGAATTTTTTGATATATTATACGTTTTTTCCGTCATCGTATGCAAAAGTTATAGCCGTTTTATATTTTCCCTACACTTTTTGCAAAACATGTCCAAATTTAAGTTTTTTAATTTTCCTAACTAGTAGATGTAGTAATATAACTACATCTCGAAGAATTTTATTTTTTGAATTTTTTATCATTTTCTTTTGTAATTTTCAAAACTGAAATGGCGATA